TAATATCTTCGCTTCTATTAGGTCTATACCATTTCTGTCCTTTATTGAGCCCATCTTTGCATGAAATATTCCCTTGGTATCTCTGATTTTCTTGAAGAGATCTCTAGTCTTTCCCATTCTATTTTTTTTCCTCTATTTCTTTGGATTGATAGCTGAGGAAGGTTTTCTTATCTCTCCTTGCTATTCTCTGTAACTCTGCATTCAGATGGGTATATCTTTCCTTTTCTCCTTTGCTTTTTGGTTCCCTTCTTTTCACAGCTATTTGTAAGGCCTCCTCAGACAGCCATTTTGCTTTTTTGAAGTTTTTTTTCTTGGGGATGGTCTTGATCCCTGTCTCCTGTACAATGTCATGAAACTCCATCCATAGTTCATCAGGCACTCTGTCTATCAGATCTAGTCCCTTAAATCTATTTCTCACTTCCAATGTATAATCATAAGGGATTTGATTTAGGTCATACCTCAATGGTCTAGTGGTTTCCCCCACTTTCTTCAATTTAAGTCTGAATTTGGCAATAAAGAGTTCTTGATCTGAGCCACAGTCAGCTCCCAGTCTTGTTTTTGCTGACTGTATAGAGCTTCTCTATCTTTGGCTGCAAAGAACATAATCAGTCTCATTCCGGTGTTGGCCATCTGGTGGTGTCCATGTCTAGAGTCTTCTCTTGTGTTGTTGGAAGATGGCATTTGCTATGACCAGTGCATTCTCTTGGCAAAACTCTATTAGCCTTTGCCCTGATTCATTCTGTACTCCAAGGCCAAACTTGCCTGTCACTCCAGGTGTTTCTTGACTTCCTACTTTTGCTTTCCAGTCTGCTATAATGAAAAGGACATCTTTTTTGGGTGTTAGTTCTAAAAGGTCTTGTAGTTCTTCGTAGAGCCATTCAGCTTCAGCTTCTTCAGCATTACTGGTCAGGGCATAGACTTGGATTACCATGACATTGAATGGTTTGCCTTGGAAACAAACAGAGATCATTCTGTCATTTTGGAGACTGCATCTAAGTACTGCATTTCAGACTCTTTTGTTGACTATGATGGCTACTCCATTTCTTCTAAGGGATTCCTGCCCACAGCAGTAGATATAATGGTCATCTGAATTAAGTTCACCCATTCCAGTCCACTGATTCCTAGAATGTCAGTCTTCACTCTTACTATCTCCTGTTTGACCATTTCCAATTTGCCTTGATTCATGGACCTAACAGTCCAGGTTACTATGCAATATTGCTGCTTACAGCATCAGACCTTGCTTCTATCACCAGTCCCATCCACAACTGGGTTTTGTTTTTGCTTTGGCTACATCCCTTCATTCTTTCTGGAGTTATTTCTCAACTGATCTCCTGGGGCATATTGTACACCTACCAACCTGGGAAACTCATCTTTCAGTGTCCTATCTTTTTGCCTTTTCATCACCACAATCACAGAAAACTAGCCAGTCTGATCACATGGACCACAGCCTTGTCTAACTTAGTGAAACTAAGCCATTCTGTGTGGGGCCACCCAAGACAGCTGGGTCATGGTGGAGAGGTCTAACAGAATGTGGTCCACTGGAGAAGGGAATGGCAAACCACTTCAGTATTCTTGCCTTGAGAACCCCATGAACAGTATGGAATAAGAATAATAAATAACAGTTATAAAGTACTTTTTATGTGAAAGGCATCATACCAAGGGTTACAGATGCATTGAAGAGTCTAAATATTACAGGCAAATTTTCTAAGTTGCAGATTAGGAATTCATTAAATTAGAATAATGATTCCTAACTACCTTGTGCATTTCTTGTATAGATAAATGGGCATGCGAATATGCTTTGGAAATGACAGAGCATGAAACAAATAGAAAACTATATGATTATTCTAAAGAGAGTAACAAGAAAGATGAAATTTTGAGTAGATAAAAATAATAGAAAACTTTTGATATTAAGAAATAATTTAAAGAAGCACTATTGAGACTGAAAAACAAATAACTGAGAAGGAAAAGTCAAAAGTTTAGGTTGAAGCTAGTAAGAAATACAGGTTGTTTCAAAGAAGATAGTCCACTGGTGACAGTAAAATTTAAGACCACTTGAAATGAACCAAAGTAGAGAAACAATAACATAAGCTGGAAAGCAGAAGGACAGGTAAAGAAATAATATTTTAAAATTTGAAAGCATTTGAGCTGAGCAGCAAGCAATAAAGAAAATCATAATTATTATGTAACCTCTGTGTATCTCCATTTTGTTACAGTTAAAATACACTATATATTGAAGCTATTAATAGCAATGCAAGCTAAGCATTTGTGGTCTCATTTTCAATATGATTTTTAAATGTATTAAAACTAACTTTTATGTTTGATGAAAACACTTTTCACATTTTAAAATTTATTTTAGTTTTGTTAGCTTTTATTTCTTAGATTTAAATTAATATTAATCCAAAGTTATAATTTTTTTATTATTATTTATTTTATAATGTTAATTCTTTGCAGCATATTGCCCCTTCATGATGAAGAGAAACATTAACTGGCTATATTTTTCAAATTATGCTTAATGGAGCCTAAGAATGTTAAAAGTATGTTAGTGACAGCTGGCAAAAGGCAGTGTGAAGGACAGAAATGCAGAAAGTAACAGGGGAAACAGACAGCGTCTGAGCTCTGTAGTCACACTTAAGTCTGGGAAACGCCAGTTTTTTCTCCTTTGAATGAAGATGAAATATAATATAAAATTAATTTTTAACAAAGTCTCTTGCCTTAATTGTTCTGAGTTCTTGAGTTTATGGTGAACATTGAGACTCTCATTTTACATTTCACAACATGTTGCTACCCATTCTTTCCTAGATATTTTATAAAATAATACTCATTTTCTTTTTATTTGGTTGATGTAATTTTTTATGATAACACAGCTTTCATATAACTGTAACTTCAGAGTATCCTAAGGTACTTATTCCATCTTTTATTATTGCAGGAATCTAATTAACCTTTAAAAATAATTAGGACTTTTTGAAATGCAAATGTCAGAAACTCCATAGAAACAAGATTACATAAAAAGATAATTTATTGGTTTACAAAACCCAAGGAAGGAATGAACACTAGAAATGTAAGAAAGACAAAAATGTAGCTGAGACTGAGCAACAGTAGGAACCAGGAAACGAAGCAGTCTAAAGGTTCATCTTCTCTCTCTCTCTTTCCCTTTCTCATTCTCCCCCACCACCCTCTTCTCTAGCACTAAGATTGTTACCAGCTCCTAGTCACTGGACTCAATTCTGCACAGTGAATTCTGGGTAATGGCCAATTTTGATTGGCCCATTTTGAGTCAGTGGTTCACTCGGAACTAGTCAATTGTAGCCAACAAAATAGGTTATAAAAAAAGCTATTACAGTTCCCACATCAGCAACAGTGGGAAGGTAAGGTTGGGGAGCAGATATAGGCTCAAATATCCATGGCCTAGATAAGTTAATTTATTGCTCAAATAGCAGTCTTGGTATATAGTCAAATACATGCTCCATAATTTCAGGGACCAGAGCTGCTGCTTTCTTGTAGTTCTATAAGACCTAGGGTTTACCCTTGATCACATGACTTGTCCTGGCTCATCAACATGCTATTTGCATTAGTTGAAAGGAGAAAAAGGAAAAGGAGAAGGCATACTTTTTCTTTTTAAGGGAACCACCCCAAAGTTACATGTGTTACTTTTGCTTAAGACTTCAGTCACATAGTCATATTTTCTTGCAAGATAAGCCCAAGATACACTCTTTTCTTTACTTTGTATCACAAAATGGATATTTTAGAGTGTCTTATAAATAGTGATGTTTCCTTTAAAATCAAGCAAATATATATATATACATATGTATATATATATATAGTAAATCATTAACCCCAAGAGGAAAACGATGTGAGAAAGAAAATGTAATCATAATGTAACCATAGAATACTATTAGGTTCAATTGTGAATCAAATTTAAATACTAAAAATAATGAAAGTCCTAGAATGTGAAAGTCCTAGATGTGGATTTGGCCCCAAATCATGATATCATTATACTGAAAAGATGGAGAAAATGGAAGTTGTGAGAGAGCTAAAATCATTGCTTATGCATGACAAACCCCAGAGATAAACTTGAGAAATTAAGAGATAGTAGTATTTACCTATTATTTAGAAATACAGAGTCAAATAACAACAAATAGCTAGAGGAGTTAGAGTAGCTGGCAGGGAGCAGGCACTATACAATTTACAGATCAGATACTATCTATGAAGTTTGAAACATCCAAACAAGGTGGTATTGTTTTCCTATTTTCTGTTGAAGACGCTGAAGCCTTGGGGTATTAGGTGTAACTTTCTCAAGCTCTTATAGCTAGTAAGTAGCAGAGCTGGGATTCAAACTTAGCCTCTGACTCCAAAGTATGGAGCAAGGATGATGGTGATGGTGATGATAGTAAAAACATTGGGATGTCTTTCTATTTCAGAACCAGACATTTTTCAAGATTACATTAAGCCCTACTTAGAACAAGCACGTCGAATCTGGCCATGGCTCATTGGGGCAGCTGTGGTTGGGTCTGTCCTTACTGCTGTACTGGGAGGACTTACTAGCCTGTTATGTCGTCGAAAGAGAAACCAGCTTCCTGAAGAAAAGCAGCCCCTGCTCATGGAAAAAGAAGATTACCACAATTTGTTGTATCAGAGCCATTTATGAAAGGCTTAGGCAATAGAATTAGGGCAAAAAACCTGATCTTGCTATAACTTAAATGATGTTAAAGTCCCCAGGGGATGTCCCAGTGGAAATCCTTGGCATGTGTCTACAGAGACCCTTATCAGAACTGTTATCAGTACATAATGTTCCCCTCCTCCTACTCAGGCAGAAGCCACCTGTGCTTGCTTTGCTGGATTTTGATCATTCCCTGAAGAGTTTTCCTCAAGCTCCTATTTCCAGGGAAAGGATGTCCTTTGGTAATAAGTAACTGCTAGATGTATCTGAATGAAAGTGCTCTTGTAAAATATGGGGACATGTGTGATTCTTTTCCTCTTGATTGTGGAATGACTTGTTCCTTTTATTATCCCCTTTCTTTGATTTTAATAAAATAGCAACAAATTTACACTGATTGACTCCTTTGAGCTTGATAAATACATTCCAATTATCTTAAGAAAGTATAATGTTCCCCTTATATTTTACATTCTTGCTCCAAAATATGTTATGGACTTCAAGTAGAAAATAGTCTTCAGAACTTTCCTGCCATAGTTCCTGCCATGACTGTACATTTGAAGGTCACTGACAGCAAGGACATTTCTCCTGCAAAGAATCAAGCTAAGTACTTGTCTCAAGATGTCCTCACTAAATGTGTTGACAATAAAGATAATAATCTTATTATAATGCTTTTAAAATATCTTCTAAAAAGAACTTAATTTTATTAGAGAATGTTTAAAATGCTGTGAAACATTTGCTAGTAGAGAACAATTACATGAATATTAGCCTCTCTGTAGTTTTAGTAAAATAGCTTATTTCTGTTTTTCCTGGTGATTAAGACCTTAAATTAAGATGTCCAGATAATCTTGCTACTTGAATGTTTGGTCCAGTTGAATTTCTAAAAATAATCCAATTGATATTCCATTCCTATTATTGTTATGTACAGCAGAAAAAACTAGAACAAGTGGGTGGAAGTTATCAGGGACCCATTTGGGTATAATAAAAGGAAAAACTGTCCAATATTCAGAGTTTTCCAAAACCAAAATGGACATTTTTGGAAAATAATAAGTGTTTGCCACTAGAGTTCTTTACATAGAGGTTGGATTACAAATTTGACTTGAATTCTATAAATAGTCTATAGTCAAATTGAGTCTATAGTCATACTTATTTACATTGGCCCAGGGCTTATAACAACTCCCAATTTAGAAATGAGGCCAAACGTGATCTAGAAAAAGTCCTTCTGACTCTGCCACAGTATTTCAGGGTGTTTCACCAGATTTCATCTTCTACCGTCTTATCCACACTCAATAGCTCTGTGCTTGAATCCCTAGTCTCTTTTAGTTCCCTTATGTCTAGTTTGCATTTAATTGCTCAGCATTTTTAGTTATGTATCTCCATTTGACTGCTTGAGTTATACTTCCAGCCTCATCCCTAAATGCTGTCTTTTCATTCTCTCTCTCTTGAGATGGCCATGCTTTTAAAACAGATTTATCCAATCCAAGCTCCAGAAATCCACCTGAGTCTGACACCTAAACCTCTACATCTCTGGAATGGTATTTAAGAGAGGACCCATTGACCTGTATGGTACCTTTCAATTAAAATGTCCTACAATTCCTATAAAGCCTGCCATGTAGTGTTCAGATTGTTTATGAATGCACTTAGAAATTCAGAGAAAAGTAAAAATCATCTTGCTATATACATTGGTTAGATGATTTTGGCTAATTTTTATCTAGAACAAATAAAAATTTACAATTATTGACATAATGCCATCAACTCTCAGAGATTACTAATAGTTAATAAACTCAGTTTATATAGCAACATTCATCTTCTAACTCACTTTAGCTGTCAGTCAAATGATGATTTGCTGGCTTATCTAATTTCTGATGCCCAGAGGAGAAAATCAGGCCAGGGATGGGTAGTAGCATGTTTATTTATCAACACAGAGGAAGGTCTGTGGGATTAGAGGGCAAATACTGTGGTTTATGTCCTCCACTTGGTACAGAACCAGAACTACAAGATTTAAAATAAATTAGCAATTATCTGTGTCCAACTCTTTGTGACCCATGGACTGCAGCATGCCAGGCTCCTCTGTCCTTCTCCATCTCCTGGAGGTGCTCAAACTCATGTCCGTTGAGTTGGTGATGCCATCCAACCATCTCATCCTCTGTCATCCCCTTCTCCTCCCCCTTCAATCTTCCCCAGCATCAGGGTCTTTTCTAATGAGTCAGTTCTTCTCATCAGGTGGCCAAAGTATTGGAGTTTCAGCTTCAGTATCAGTCCTTCCAGTGAATATTAAGGACAGATTTCCTTTAGGATGGACTTGTTGGATCTCCTTGCAGTCCAAGGGACTCTCAAGAATCTTCTCTAACACCAAAATTTGAAAGAACAGAAACTAGTAAAACAGAGCAAAGAGTGGCAAAATAAATTTTGATGAGGTCTGAAGAAAATTCTCGAGAAACAGGAATAGTGACTGTGGTTGCCTTTAGTCTGATCTCAGAATGCAAAATAATTATTTAGCTAAATTTGATTTGAAAGAAATTTTCAGTCCAGGTGACATTTTAAATCATTTTTACAAAGCATCTTGAATCAAAATCTACCCAAGGAATTTTCATTGCTGCTGAAGGGATCTGTATGAATTCATTCTCTTCCTTATCACAAGGCAATTCCCTCTTTTATCACTGAACTTCAGCGTAGAATATCATTTTGTTTCTCTAGAGGCTCAGGTTATCCACTTGTATAGCAACAACATCTGTGATAAAACCACCACCACACTGACTCCATGGTTTTCTCAATAAGACGCCAAAATTACATAACTGATATTTTAAGATACTTGGCAGTTTCATTAAATGCTAATCAGCATTATATTCTGTGGCTTTATTTTATAGTGTGGATTTTAGAAATTGCTTCGTTTGGGGCTCTGCTGTTTTTCCATTACTACATTAGAAGTCACATTTTGTTACAGAGAAAGAAATAAGCAGCTGCCTCTCTTTTTGTTCCTCTCTCTGTGCCTTAGTTTTTTTAAAGACTATTTTTAGTACCCAACCTTTCCAACAAGTCAAATGTATAATTCTCCATCTGTAGAAATAAATATGTGATGGGTACTAGTCATTTCAACAGTGTCTCTTGCTGGCTGACAACTGGCTTTGATTGTGAGTGTTTTAAAATAGCCTTTCCCTTGTTTATATGGGCTTTGATTTGTAGGAACAGTTTTCTTTGTCATCATAAAAAAAAGGCCTCATTGGGGCCACCTATTGTGAGCTTGTGTTATTTTGGAGGGCATGTCAGTAGAACAAAGGTCCACTGGCCTTCTGATTAGACTCCTTCTGAAAGCTGCTAAAATGCAAGTAAGAGTTTCTTTAACTTTGTGTTACTTATTTTCAAAAGCATTTGCCAGTTTGTACAATATATTGAATATAAAATTGCCTTTGGCAACCACTGGAGGACTTAAGGGCTTTCAAATCCTTCAGCTATTTAAAATGGTAAGAAATCTTTTAAGTATTTTCTTTTAAATCAAAACCTTATTAAAACTCTAGATAGCCTACGTTTATCTAATTGTTTCACGAGCTCTTTTCTTAATAGCAATATTCTTATAACTTCATGTTAATCTACCAATTCTTGTTATGTTTTTTAATCATTTTTAATGGTGATTTCTAATTTCTTCTTTTAAAATGAATAGTAAAGATCTTAATGCAGTGAGTGGTTATGATGTTCCAAGAACTGTGATAAACACAGCATATTAACATATGTTAATTCATCTAATCTTCATGTTGTCAGTATGAGAGTATTATTCATATTTTTAAATGAGACTGTGGCTTAAGCAGAAGACTTGCCTTCCCTATTTCCATATGCGTTCAGTATTTTAGGTAATTTAGCTGGGATTTGAATCCAGTTCTTCTCCATGATTATAAATTTCATTATTTGTTATTCAGTTATGTTGACATGTCCTACTTTATCAACTGTCTTTCCTGAATATTTAGACTTTCTCTAGCTCTAAATTATTGCTGTAATGAATATCCTGATGCATTTTGCATCTTATTTCACTTCATTTGTTTTCCAGGAGTAGAATCTCTGGGTCAAAGCATTTGAATGAATTGTCATATGCTTTTGAAAAGGGTTGCATTGATCAAAAAATGCAAAAAGATGGAGCCTAAAAATAAGAGATCAAAAGGAATGAAGAAGAAAATGCAAAGGTGAAGAACTTAGAAGAAGAAAGAAGTGTTGCAAGTCTCTCTGAGAGGAACTGAAGACTTAATTGCCACTTCACTTGGTGCTTCTTCTCATGAAACTTTTTCAAATAATAACATTTATGTAATGAGCATTTTCTCTCATTAAAATCAGAAGAAAATATAGACTGAGGCCATTTCAGAAAGGTAGGGAGAAACATGCATGTAAATTGGTTCTCAGCTAAGATATTTTTAGAAATGAGTACATCTTGGCTAGGTAGAAACATGTGCATACATTTCAGAATCATATAGGAATGAAAACAGCAAAACCAGGAATCCATACTTGGAAGAGTAAGCCCAAGGCATCAAAATAGTCTGAATCAAAACAGAGTCAGGGTCAGCGATTAGGATAGACAGGAGATCATGTGACAGGGTAGGGAAGGCTGGAAAGGACCTGAAAATCAAGCCCAAGACGAGTTTGAACCACTTGTTTTCACTGCTCTTTGAGAAAGTTCTGCATTCTGCCTGGAATTTGGTCATGCGTGCTCAGTTGCTTCAGCCATGCCCGACTCTTTGTGACCCCCATGGACTGTAGCCTGCCCGACTCCTCTGTCATGGGATTCTCCAGGCAAGAATACTGGAGTGGGTTGCCAGGCCCTCCCCCAGGGGATCTTCCTGACCTGACCCAGGGATCGAACCCCAGTGTCTTATGTCTCCTGCGTTGATAGGCAGGTTCTTTACCATTAGCACCACCTGAATTTGGTCAGTCTTCCTTATCAAATCATGTCATTTTAAAACATTCTTACCAGAAGAATTATAAAGATAGATGTGTCTGTGTGAGTGTTCATGTATGTGTGGAGAGAAAGAGGGAGAAAGGGAGACAGAGAGAAAATACAGAAAGAATGAAAACATTTCTCCTCTCTCTAATACTGGAGAGAATTTTGTTGCTGATTATATGCTTTCTATTGCTACTGCAGGGGGCTCCCTGGTGGCTTAGTGGTAAAGAACCCACTTGCCAATGAAGGAGATATGGTTTGATCCCTGGGTCGGGAAGATCCCCTGGAGAAAGAAATGGCAACCCACTCCAATATTCTTGATTCAAAAATTCCATGGACAGAGGAGCCTGGCAGGCTGCCATCCATAGGTCGCAAAAGGCAGATATGACTTAGCAACTGAGCAGCAACATTGCCAGTGCAGTAAACAACCACAAACACAGTGGCTTAAAATGCCGCAGGGTTATTATCCTGGAAT